GTCAAATTATCACGAGAGCGAACACTATCTTCAATATCTAGTATCATTGTCATTATAGTGTAGCCCACACAGCTTCGCTCTCTCTCTCCCCCTCTCTCTCTCTCTCTCTCTCTCTCTCTCTCTCTCTCTCTCTCTCTCTCTCTCTCTCTCTCTCTCTCTCTCTCTCTCTCTCTCTCTCTCTCACCTGCTGCTTGATAAGTTCCAAATTGGAATATTTATACATTTGGTTAAATTATACACAATCCTTAACTTTTTATTATTTGGGGGAAATGATATGTGGTTGTGAAGGTTGTAGATGACTGTTGAAGTTATTTTTTTTTGGGTCTTGTTTGTTATGTTGTGATGAGTGAGTTGTTGATTTGTTGCCCCCAAGGGTCGTGTCAGATGTCTACGATCCAGCACAAACACGTACATAATGCTTTACGTACACAAACACACACACACACACACGTAAAAACGCACGCAAAAACATCCATTCATACAACCAAAGCCTGAACAGGAAATTGAGAAAGTGAGAGGGAGGTGAGAGGAATAAGAGTGAGAGAGAGAGAGAGAGAGAGAGAGAGAGAGAGAGAGAGAGAGAGAGAGAGAGAGAGAGAGAGAGAGAGAGAGAGAGAGAGAGAGAGAGAGAGAAAGAGAGAGAGAGGAGAAAGACAGAATCGGACACACATCGACTGCCTCTCATCGCAACAATACATTATGAAGGCCCTTTCCTCCAATCGCGTCGTCTAATTTGCGGTTAACGGCTGTAATTAGCCAATCACTGCCAGCAGTAATGTCGTTTCCACAGTCGACTGCTCTGGAGAACACAGACCCGACGGACACAGCTGACGCAGACCCGACGGACTTCGTAGATCCAATGGGTGGACTGGACGTACCCAGTGGACTCTGAAACCTGTAGGCCAGATAACTGACAGTTGAGAAGCGGGACCAAAGAGTATGTCAGTGTGAGAAAAGCAGCTGAGAAAAGGTATGAAAATGATATAGCTAATAAAGCTAAGACCGAACCAAAGCCTCTACACAGTCACATCAGGAGGAAGACAACAGTGAAGGAACAGGTGATGAAACTTAGGGTGGGCCAGGACAGGTACACAGAGAATGACAAAGAGGTGTGTGAAGAACTCAACAAGAGGTTCCAGGAGGTCTTTACAATAGAACAAGGAGAGGTCACGGCGCTAGGAGAGGTGGCAGCAAACCAGGCGAACTTGGAAGGGTTCGAAATTACAAGAGAAGCTGTCAAGAAGCACCTATTGGAGCTGGACGTGAGAAAAGCTGTTGGGCCGGACGGAATCTCACCATGGGTATTGAAAGAGTGTGCAGGAGCACTTTGTTTGCCACTCTCCATAGTGTATAGTAGGTCACTGGAAACGGGAGACCTACCAGAAATATGGAAGACGGCTAATGTAGTCCTAATATACAAAAAGGGTGACAGACAAGAGGCACTGAACTACAGGCCAGTGTCCTTAATTTTTATACCATGTAAGGTGATGTAAGATTTTATACCATGTAAGATCGTGAGAAAAAAAACTCGTAACACATCCGTAGAGAAGGGACTTCGTGACAACCCATCAACATGGGTTCATTCTTATTAAGCTTCCAGGCTTAATAGAATTCTATGATCAGGTGACAAAGATTAAGCAAGAAAGAGAAGGATGAGCAGACTGCATTTGTTTGGGCTGTTGGAAAGCCTTTGACACAGTACCCCATAAAAGGTTGATGCATAAGCTGGAGAAACAGGCAGGAGTAACTGGTAGGGCGCTCCAGTGGATAAGGGAGTACCTAAGCAATAGGAAGCAGAGAGTTACAGTGAAGGGTGAGACCTCAGATTGGCGTGAAGTCACCAGTGGAGTCCCACAGGGCTCTGTACTCGGACCTATCCTGTTTCTGATATACGTAAATGATCTCCTATACGGTATAGACTCATTCCTCTCGATGTTTACTGACGACGCCAAAATTATGAGAAGGATTAAGACAGAGGAGGACAGCTTGAGACTTCAAGAAGACCTGGACAAGCTGCAGGAATGGTCGAACAAATGGTTGTTAGAGTTTAACCCAAGCAAATGTAATGTAATGAAGATAGGTGTAGGGAGCAGGAGACCAGATACAAGGTATCATTTGGGAGATGAAATACTTCAAGAGTCAGAGAGAGAGAAAGACCTGGGAGTTGGTATCACGCCAGACCTGTCCCCTGAAGCTCATATCAAGAGGATAACATCAGCGGCATATGCCAGGTTGGCTAACATAAGAACGGCCTTTAGAAATTTTTGTAAGGAATCTTTCAGAACATTATATACCATATATGTCAGACCAATCCTGGAGTATGCGGCTCCAGCATGGAGTCCATATCTAGTCAAGCATAAGACTAAACTGGAAAAGGTTCAAAGGCTTGCCACCAGACTAGTACCCGAGCTGAGAGGTATGAACTACGAGGAGAGACTACGGGAATTATACCTCACTTCGTTGGAAGACATAAGAGTTAGGGGGGACATGATCACCACATTCAAGATTCTCAAGGGAATCGGTAGGGTAGATAGAGACAGGCTATTTAACACAAGGGGCAAACGCACAAGGGGACACAGGTGGAAACTGAGCGCCCAAATGAGCCACAGAGATATTAGAAAGAACTTTTTTAGTGTCAGAGTGGTTGACAAATGGAATGCATTAGGAAGTGATGTGGTGGAGGCTGACTCCATACACAGTTTCAAGTGTAGATATGACAGATCCCAATAGACTCAGAAACCTGTACACCTGTTGATTGACGGTTAAGAGGCGGGACCAAAGAGCCAGAGCTCAACCCCCTCAAGCACAATTAGGTGAATACAATTAGGTGAGCACACACACACCATTTTGCCTTCGAATTAAAATGACGCAGAATAGAACCTAATTCATTCCTCCGCATATTTCTCTATTGACTGCTCATTTGCCTCTTCAATCCCTCTTCTGTCTTCTTCTTCTGCTTCCTTCCCACTTTTCTAATTTCCCCTTCCTTACCCTCCCTTCACTACCCTCCCTTCACCCCCAAGCTCCTTATCAGTGGAGAGGAAGGCAGCTACCTCAGAGGGGAAAGGTTTTCAGAATTCCATGTTTACTTGGAGAGATGAATGGGTCCATGAAGAGTAGAGATGGAAGGGGCGATAAAGAGGGATACAGGAGATATTCTCTGGGTTCTTTCCCACCCCTTTATTCCCCAGACGTTCATACCCTATGTTTATTATTGTATTTTTGATTTGAAGAGACAAGCAATTGGAATTTGGTCTCTTTTTCTTACTGTCCACAATTCACAAACCTGATAGGTTCCTAAACCTGAGAGCTTCCCAAACCTGAGAGCTTCCCAAACCTGGGAGCTTCCCAAACCTGAGAATTTCCCAAACCCGAGAGCTTCCCAAACCCGAGAGCTTCCCAAACCCGAGAGCTTCCCAAACCTGAGAGCTTCCCAAACCTGAGAGCTTCCCAAACCTGAGAGCTTCCCAAACCTGAGAGCTTCCCAAACCTGAGAGCTTCTCAGTCCTGACTAAAAGAAAATTCCCCAAATCGTTTAAAGACAGAATCGAACTCCACTGGAAAAGTTTCCAATCACTCGTGGGGAAAGTTTCTGGAGAGCACCACCAGGGGAGCTACCAGCGATCAGGGCTTTGAGAAGCAGCCATTTATGGTGTATTGTGACTGTGCCTGACTCTGCTTTACCCCGGGCACTCTAGAGGATCCAGAAAATGTGTGATTTATAGCAGTTTGCGAGGTGACTGACGTGGGAATTTATGTGCTAAAATAGTGTGTGCGTGTGTGTGGGTTTCTAAAGAGAGATTTATTGTCCAGAAATGTCCTTCTCATTCTGGCTTTTTCATTTCATTTTCTCTCTATGATTCTCACTCTGTGTCTCTCTATATCTCTCTTCTTGTGTTTACATATGGGGAAGAAACATTGGAAGACTTCGGATAACATGTAAACAATATTATTGAGAGGGAAAACTAGGAAGGAGAGTGGTTTGCAGGGGTTCCTAAACTATTATGACAGACATTGATATATTTAAGGATGAGGCGTGGTAGTCCTTCGACTTCTCATAGAAGTACAGTAGCAGAAACGTCAAGAAAGCAGCGGTGTGATAGTCAAACTGAACATTTAATACCCAAAGCGCCTCCAGTAGCGGGAAGTGGGGATTGAAAAGTATTGACGTAGCCTTTGTATTTAAAGCATTCAGCCATTTTTCCATGTCTAACATTAGCATGGAAAATCTCCTCAACGTCTTAGAACTTTCCAAAGTGTGAACACACACATTAAAAAACAAAAAGTATTGGACTCCTCTTAGTGTGAGCTGTTTAATTTCTTCCTCCAGCGATTTCGCCTAAAAGAAACGAGTTAAAAAAATGAACACAAGAGGAAAACTTTAAAAAGACTCGCACATCTCTTTAATGGTTTTTGATAACCTTTGTTAGTCTTTCGTGGTCCCAAATTTCTATAGTTTTAGAGCGGTTTAAGCACAAAACTTCTAAGGTGAAAATAATTGTTAATGCTATATTTTGACAGGCTATATATTGAGGGAGCCGGTCGGCCGAGCGGACAGCACGCGGGACTTGTGATCCTGTGGTCCTGGGTTCGATCCCAGGCGCCGGCGAGAAACAATGGGCAGAGTTTCTTTCACCCTATGCCCCTGTTACCTAGCAGTAAAATAGGTACCTGGGTGTTAGTCAGCTGTCACGGGCTGCTTCCTGGGGGTGGAGGCCTGGTCGAGGACCGGGCCGCGGGGACACTAAAGCCCCGAAATCATCTCAAGATAACCTCAAGAATCTATTGTTTATGACGCATTTCAACAGGATCGGATTGGTTAATGCTACATTTTGACATTGACATCTAATATGGCTAATGCCATATTAGACAAGTCTTAAAATAAGGATATAATGCATTATTTTTGTAATTCCATTAAAGGTTTCTGATATAATACGTGAATACAATATAGAATTGTTCCAAAATATGTCTACACTTTGTCTCGTTCTTAAAACGTAAATATGTATACACGCATATGTATATATACGATAGCGAGACCTTTGCGAACACAGAAGACACCAGACCGAGCACAGAAGAGACCAGACCGAGCACAGAAGAGACCAGACCGAGCACAGAAGAGACCAGACCGAGCACAGAAGAGACCAGACCGAGCACCGAAGAGGCCAGACCGAGCACAGAAGACACCAGACCGAGCACAGAAGACACCAGACCGAGCACAGAAGAGACCAGACCGAGCACAGAAGACACCAGACCGAGCGCAGAAGACACCAGACCGAGCACAGAAGACACCAGACCGAGCACAGAAGAGACCAGACCGAGCACAGAAGAGGCCAGACCGAGCACAGAAGAGACCAGACCGAGCACAGAAGAGACCAGACCGAGCACAGAAGAGACCAGACCGAGCACAGAAGACACCAGACCGAGCACAGAAGACACCAGACCGAGCACAGAAGACACCAGACCGAGCACAGAAGACACCAGACCGAGCGCAGAAGACACCATACCGAGCACAGAAGACACCAGACCGATCACAGAAGAGACCAGACCGAACACACAAGAGACCAGACCGAACACACAAGAGACCAGACCGAGCACAGAAGACACCAGACCGAGCACAGAAGAGACCAGACCGAACACACAAGAGACCAGACCGAACACACAAGAGACCAGACCGAGCACAGAAGACACCAGACCGAGCACAGAAGACACCAGACCGAGCACAGAAGACACCAGACCGATCACAGAAGAGACCAGACCGATCACAGAAGACACCAGACCGAACACACAAGAGACCTCACTGAAAATTGACCGCCATCGTTCCAAGACGACTACAAAACTCCATACTACTCGAGAAGGACAATTAAGAGTCATTAGAGGTAGTTGAGGCAGCGTTAAGGCTTCTCAAGGAGCAGACACGCCCCTTTCTCTGCCTCAGAGAACCTCTTCCGATCCACCAATTACATCGTTCCTCCCGCCTCTAGCCTGTTATTGGCCGAGCGGCATCGTTTGAACTCAACGGTTTTAACGGTCGTTCAAGCGGGGTAGCACACACTCCTGTTCCCTACTGTTACTATAAAAGTTAAATATAATGGAAAAGTAAGACATTTGATAAAATATTTGAATGGAATAATAAATCTAAATTTATAAAAAAAAATATTAATATTTAGACACTTGTTTTGAATTCATGAGATGAAAACTTTAAGTTTTAAAAATAGAACATTGGTCAATATTGTTCACAAGGCCAGAGAGGGTTGTGTTATTGTGATCAATACAGTTATTAAGTGTCGCAGACTGCACGGTAGCGCAGTGTGGGACGAACACCGTAGTGCTGGTGGGGTAGCGTCACCGTGACAGACTACCTTATGTAGCTTCCGGGGATCAACAGCCCCCGCGGCTCGGTCTCCGGCCAGGCCAAAATGGTTTAAGGTATCCATTGCGGTCATGAGTATTTAATAATCTTTATATATGAAATACTGTAAATGTAAATCTTTTACGAGGACTATATTCTCTGTTCACAAATGAAGAAACAAATGAAGGAACTTTCTTGTAAGAGGCACCAATTTAGTCTTTCTTCGCCATTATAGACGGAACGACTCTATTGTTGACAGCTGTTAACTAGCCTCTAAAGACCATAAAACTAGTCGTTGTTGCCTCACACTTAATCAAAGAAAAAGTGACACCTTAATTATTCTTTAGGCATTTGTCTTAGCCCAGATAGAGTGATGCTTGGGGGTATTATAAGGTGGTTCAGCCCGTTCTCGCACTTTCGTATAGTCAATATTGACTTATTAAATACGTGCATATGTGACATACTGAATATTGTGAATATTTTAGCTTACCTTGAAAAGCTTCATAGAAAACACCGACATTACCTAACCTTCTTAGTATGTTAAGATAAGCATCTTATTGCTTCGTAATTACAATTATTACTTAACCTATACCTATAATAGGTTAAGTAATAATTGTAATTACGAAGCAATAAGATGCTTATCTTAACATACTAAGAAGGTTAGGTAAGGTCGGTGTTTTCTATGAAGCTTTTCAAGGTAAACTAAAATATTCACAATAAATTAGTATATCACATATGCACTTATTTAATAAGTCAATATTGACTGTAAGAAAGTGCAAGAACGGGTTGGGTGGTTACGAGGAATGAAAACTGTAATCATTCAGTAAGTAGTTAACTAATGCTTAGTGTAGCTTAAATTTTGCCGGCAGGAAGAAAAATGAGAACATAAGTTCACCCGCCAAGAAAGGTTATCTTGAGATGATTTCGGGGCTTTTAGTGTCCCCGCGGCCCGGTCCTCGACCAGGCCTCCACCCCCAGGAAGCAGCCCGTGACAGCTGACTAACTCCCAGGTACCTATTTACTGCTAGGTAACAGGGGCATTCAGGGTGAAAGAAACTTTGCCCATTTGTTTCTGCCTCGTGCGGGAATCGAACCCGCGCCACAGAATTACGAGTCCTGCGCGCTATCCACCAGGCTACGAGGCCCCCTTTGTCTCGTTGGTTCAAGGTTCAAGTATGTTTATTGAGACAAGGAAAAAATACATCTCAAAGGGATAGAGTAGCTAAGAAAGGACGCTGGAGCGGCCATATTGGGAACTTCAACAGCTTGAGACACGCTTCTTGCTGGCTATGGTTCTCAAGTTTACATAACACAAACCTGAATGTATCTTATATCCCGCCAAAGACACACCGAAACTACGACGTTGGTACAACGTTCGAACAAGTTTTAACACTTCCTAACCAGTTATAACAACCAATATAGCAAGTTGTAACAACGTTCTAATACGTCATAAACACGTTAAGCTAAGATGTAACAACTTTATTACAAGTTGTAACAAGCGGAAAATAGAGACAGTTTCGATCTGTGTTTATATATCCAGTAATTAATCATAAGTTCGAATAAACACGGTGCTTGAAATACACTCTGGTCCGGAGTGATTTGGCAGTGTTGCCGAGGAGTTGGTATATATATTTGTCTAGTGTACTGAATGAGTTTATGCAGCAACCTGTCCTCCTAATAGCACGTCGTATTTTGACGTATACTCTACCTAAGGCCAAAAATTGTCGTACTGAAAAATGGTAGCGGCTCGTGAAATTAATATACTGTCCTGTTTTCTGTTTTAGGTCCTCTGGTAGGTTAGGATAAGAGCACTTTAGTACGACAGTTTCTTGACGTTGGGAGACCTTATGAGGACAGGCTGGATGCAGGGCCCTATTGGCTGGCCCCTGGAAGTGTAGTTGCCTCTTCTAACCTTTGCAAGTAAGCCGGAGGACTCAAACAGAAAACGGGACAGTACATCACTTTCGTGAGCCGATTTCATGTCAAATTACGGCCAATTTTGGCCATAGTGCCGCGCATACCAGCGAAAAGCGACGTTATTTTTAAGAGGACTGGTTAGGAAGTGACACAATCACAGAGACAGGGTGAGGCGGGTGACACCATCACAGGGACAGGGTGAGGCGGGTGACACCATCACAGGGACAGGGTGAGGCGGGTGACACCATCACAGGGACAGGGTGAGGCGGGTGACACCATCACAGGGACAGGGTGAGGCGGGTGATACAGTCACAGGGACAGGGTGAGGCGGGTGACACCATCACAGGGACAGGGTGAGGCGGGTGATACAATCACAGGGACAGGGTGAGGCGGGTGACACAATCACAGGGACAGGGTGAGGCGGGTGTCACAATCACAGGGACAGGGTGAGGCGGGTGACAATCACAGGGACAGGGTGAGGCGGGTGATACAGTCACAGGGACAAGGTGAGGCGGGTGACAATCACAGGGACCAGACACACGACACAAACACGGCCCAATAGGTGGATATATATATATATATATATATATATATATATATATATATATATATATATAAAGTGGACAGGTGCACGCGCGTGCACACATATATACATACAGAAGAAGTAAGGAGTAAGAAGTAAATCTACCTTAATTAAGGTAGCTTAGGAAGACACTACTCTGCCTAATTCTTAAATAGGCAAAGTTTCTTTCACCCTGACGGCCCCTGTTCACCTAGCAGTAAATAGGTACCTGGGAGTTAGACAGCTGTCACGGGCTGCTTCCTAGGGGTGTGTAACAAAAAGAAGGACCGGGCCGCGGGGACGCTAAGCCCCGGAAATCATCTCAATATACCCTGCATAAAGATAGTTAAATATACCTCCTGCGTTGGTTAGAAATATTGAAATGTTGACAAATGTTGCATATAGTGAAGAAAATACAGTGAAATGGCTAATAGATGGCAGAAGAGAGACGAAGGGGTTTAGGCAGGTGAAATCTGGCTTAAAGCGTTGGGCCACTTGCAAAGAGGATTACGTATGTGTCCCACCATCAAAGGGATTCAGGATCCTACGGTATTGGGGGGATGGACCGTACGTAGTTATGGAGACTAGCTAGGGATTGTGTTGGTGGCTGACACCACACGCACGCACTCACACACACACACACACGCACGCACACACACTCACACACACTCACATGATCACCACATTCAAGATTCTCAAGGGAATTGATAGGGTAGATAAAGACAGTCTATTTAACACAAGGGGAACACGCACTAGGGGACACAGGTGGAAACTGAGTGCCCAAATGAGCCACAGAGATATTAGAAAGAACTTTTTCAGTGTCAGAGTGGTTGACAAATGGAATGCATTAGGCAGTGATGTGGTGGAGGCTGACTCCATACACAGTTTCAAGTGTAGATATGATAGAGCCCAATAGGCTCAGGAACCTGTACACCACTTGACTGAAAGTTGAGAGGCGGGACCAAAGAGCCTAGCTCAACCCCCTCAAGCATAACTAGGTGAGTTCACACACACACACACACAGGGGCCTGGTAGCCTGGTGGATAGCGCGCAGGACTCGTAATTCTGTGGCGCGGATTCGATTCCCGCACCAGGCAGAAACAAATGGGCAAAGTTTCTTTCACCCCTGAATGCCCACCTGTTACCTAGCAGTAAATAGGTACGTGGGAGTTAGTCAGCTGTCACGGGCTGCTTCCTGGGGTGTGTGTGTGTGTGGTGTGAAAAAAAAGTAGTTAGTAAACAGTTGAGAGGCAGGCAGAAAGAGCAAAGCTCAACCCCTGTAAACACAACTAGGTGAATACACACACACGCACACACACACACACACACACACACACACACACACACACACACACACACACACACACACACACACACACACACGTGTGTGTGTGTGTGTCCACCAACGACCATCCACCTGCGGTAGACGTAAATGACACACGAACTTTAAAAGACAAATAGTGTAAACACGGTCGACTTCTTTTTTCCCTCTTTCTCTGTCTCTTGAGACCTGGAGAGCCTCATCTCTCTCTCTGTCTCTCTCTCTCTCTCTCTCTCTCTCCTCTCTCTCTCTCTCTCTCTCTCTCTC